CTTGTTGCCCCTTTGTGGACCTGCCAGGGCACAACTGGGGCTCAGGAAAGGCTCCCCCTACTCTGGCCGTGGTGCTTCTCACCCCTCAGTGCCTGGCACCAGCTATGGGTTCATGACCCAGTCCTGTCTGTCCCCTCCTAATAATCCTCCCTTTGGTCTCTGCAGAGTGGTGGCGCACAATGACCCCTTATTACGGTAAGCATCTCCGAAGCATCAGCTGTGCACATGGCAGTGACCAGCCTCGGGGGAAATTCTGACTCCTGGGTTAAGCCTCTGGGCTCCCAGCTCATCCAATGTGAGGGTCCCCATTACCTTCCAGAATTCCAGTTATCCCATTACTTGCAGGTTATGGGATATTTCGGTTAGGACATTTTTTGCACCTAACAAAGACCCACTCAAACTGTCTTAAGCTGGAAGAGACCTCAATTGTGTACATGTTTAGGACATTTTGGGTGAGCCTCACCCCAGGGTACCTGGCTTGTGACAAACTCTGGGACAGGCTGCGTCCCCACCCCCCACCCCACCCTCAGTCAGGGGAGCTTCTTGGTCCTCACTGTGCCTGACACCCCAGCTTCAGGGCTCTGCCCCAATCTCGGTTCTACCTCCTCCTTCTAATGTTCCTTGTTGTCTCTCTCCAGACTGGTGGACCATGACAACTCCTGTCACTGGTAAGTGGAGGGGCATCCTGAGGCATCAGCGCTCAGCATTGCAGTGACCAGGCCTGGGTGACCCTCCTGCCTCCTGGGCTGATCCTCTGACCTCCCCATCCCATCCGATGAGCAGGGCTCCCTTCATCTGCCAGCAGTGGGATATATTTGTCCCAGTGTTTTCCTTGCAAATGACCAGCAACCTCCTCAAAGGCTCAGACTCTGCAAGGGAGCTCAGTGGCTTACCTGTTCGGGCATTTATGGGTAATGATTGGCTTCAAGTGCAGCTGGGTCCGGAAGGGCCATGACTGTATGCCCCCTGGGCACTTATTACATCCACATTGCCACATGGATCACCTCCACAGCGTGCATGCTCTCTGTCCAGGGGTGCAGTTGCCAGCCCCAAGTCTCCATCCCACCAGGACAGAGACTCTGTGTCCCATGTTCACAGGCTGACCTGGATGGACTCTGTGCTGCCTGCTTGGCACAGGTGCCTTCTCCTGACTTATATCCACGTGTGACCTGATGTGCCAGTCAGGCCCATATGTCAGCCTTCATATTCCCCAGGGTTGGAGGGCAAGTAAATGGCAGGAGTATGTATTTGAACCTCGGGGAAGTGCTCTGGTTGCTGGGTCTCTTGAACAGGAAGGGGGTGTCCTGTAATGACACCAATCAGGGCAGGAGGCCCGAGTTTCAGAACCAGCTGCCCAGTAGAGCGTGGTCCTCCTGTGGTACTGTGTGCGTGTGCTGCATGTCATTTCCCCAGTCCTCGGACAGAGCCTTGCCTTTCCCTGGGGTGGTGCCCACACCTGAGCTCTGCCCTTGTGCTGACCTCAGGCCCAGTGCCTGGTTCTGAGCTGACAGTGCTATTTCCTCAGGGAACTCGGAGGTCCTTGATGTGCACCTGAAGCCTGGTCCCTTGTCTTCCTGGGGTACAGGTGGTGTCTCAACTCACCTGCCACGTCCCTGCACAAACACCAGGGTCCTGGGCCTGGGAGTCGGAATGGGACCAATTGGCAAATATCACTGCTCCTCTGCCTGCGATTCTCTGTGCCCTCTGCTACCATCCGAGTCACCACGTTAACATGTCTGGCACCGTAGGCTTTCAGTACCTCCCAGTGTGCTACACCCTCACCACCATGTGGCTCCAGCATTTCTTATGTCCCCCTGTGAAACCCCACAGCTCCTTACCGGACAGACACGGTCCTTTCTGCTCTGGTAATTACTCATCCACTAGGGCCCCTATGGATTTGCCTGTTCATGATTTTCTCACGGACAGAATCAGGTAGTAGGTTGCCTTTTGTGTCTGGGTTCTCTTGGTATATTGTTCACGCTTCATGTATGACATAGCATGTTTGAAGTCTTCCTTCCTTTGTATGACTGAATACTCCTCTGCTGTAGGGTTAGACCACATTTTCTCCATCCATTCATAGACATTTGGGTTTTTCCTGCCATATCACTATTAGGGTCAGCACTAGTACATGCACTCAGGTGCCATTTGAGCGCCTGTGTCGGGTTATTGTGGTCATACACTCTCGAGCATTCTTGCGGGCTCATGGGACTGTCCTATGGCTGACTGTGGGAGCGCTGAGCTTCTTTCCACAGCAGCTGGACTATTTTGTGTGACCACCAGCGTCACTTGCGTCTCTGGTTTTCGACATCCTCGCCATCCCTCATTATCATTTGTCTTTTCCATGCTGACCACCCAGGAAGTTGTGAGGGGTCATCCCCTGTGTTTTGACGGGCATTTCCCTGTAGAGTGATGATGTCAGGCCTCTCTTCACGAGTCAGGTGGGCATGTATATATGCTGTTATGAGTGGACGATCTTCCTTTTGTAGCCGCCTGAACGCCATGGGCCCAGGTCACTTTTAGTGCCCTAGGCCAGCTGGCTGGCTAAGGAACCATGATCAGGGCAACACTGAGGGTTCATGATGTCTGGTTAAGTCGTGTGCCTGGCAAGTGACGTTTCTGCAGGTAGTTCAAATTCTACTGTTTTATTTTATTACTACTCACAGGCCATGGGTACCTCTAAGTATGCACACCTAGATGACGGTACAGTCACACATGCCCACTGTCACCATGTACAGTGGTCCATGATGTGTTCAACTCAGGGTAAGCACTGAGCTTGAAAGCAACAGGAGTCGGTACTGAGTGGACAGGAGCATTCAGAACTCGGGTCAGGCCCATGGTGTGGGGCCCTGGATCCACAGTAAGTCCACTGAGGCTGTAGCCCTTATGCCCCCGGCTGAGGCCAGTCCTTGGTGGGGTACAGACTGCCCTTGTGATGAGCTACTGAGGGGGCTCAGGTAGATCTCTGTGGTCACGGCAGATGCAGGCTGATGGTGTTAGCCCCTTAGTCCCGAGGCCGGGCTTAGCATTTGAATTGCACAGCATTGGGAAAAGAACTGGAGAGCCACAGAGCTTAGCCCACGGCCACGGCTTCTCCTCGTTTGCCCCTTGAGAGTCAAGAATGATGAAGAGGCTTCTGTCGAGCATCATTGCAGGCTAACATCACCCGAAACCCAGAAGCCAGGGACTATAGATTATCTGAATCCCACACAGACCCCAAGGCCTGTTCCTTCAGGAGACCCAGGAGAGTATAACTTTCCATGTCCCCCTGTAGGTTCCGAATCAGGTTTGGCCTTGAGGCTGGTGAACGGCGGTGACCGCTGTCAGGGCCGGGTGGAGGTCCTGTACCGAGGCTCCTGGGGCACCGTGTGTGACGACAGCTGGGACACCAATGACGCCAACGTGGTGTGCAGGCAGCTAGGCTGCGGCTGGGCCACGGCGGCCCCCGGCAGTGCCCGGTTCGGGCAGGGCTCAGGCCCGATCGTCCTGGACGACTTGCGGTGCTCAGGACACGAGTCCTACCTGTGGAGCTGCCCCCACAACGGCTGGAACTCGCACAACTGCGGCCACTCGGAGGACGCGGGGGTCATCTGCTCAGGTGGGCCTAGCTCTTTGGGGTCCCTATCGTGGGACTAGGTTCCAAGGACAGGGTCCCCCCTCCATCAGGAGTCCCTGACTCACAGCTGCTTCTACATTTCCTGTTTCCCAAGTACAGTCACACATGCCCACTGTCCCATGTACAGGGGAATGTGGTGTGTTTGACTCAGGGCAAGCTTTTGGCTTGAAAGTGACAGGATTCAGTGTTGAGCAGACAGGAGCCTTTGGAACTCGGGTCAGGGCCATGGTGTGGGGCCCTGGATCCGGGATAAGTCCTCTGAGGCTGTAGCCCTTATGCCCAGGGCCCAGGCAGGTCGTTGGTGGGGTGCAGGCTGTCTCTGTTGGTGTGCTGCTGAGGGGGCTTAAGTAGATATGGTCACGGCAGATGCAGGCTGATGGCGTTACCCCCTGAGTCCGGAGGCTGGGCTTAGCGTTTGAATTGCACACCATTAGGATAAGATCTAGAGAACCACAGAGCTCAGCCCACGTCTAAGGCTTCTCCTCCTTTGCCCTTGAGAGTCAAGAATGATGAAGAGGCTTCTGTCAAGCACCATTGATGGAAAACATAACCCAAAACCCACAAGCCAGGGATCGTCGATCTGAATCCCACACAGATCCCAGGGCCTGTTGTTCATGAGACCCAGGAGAGTATAACTTTCCATGTCCCCCTGTAGGGTCCGAATCAGGTTTGGCCTTGAGGCTGGTGAACGGCGGTGACCGCTGTCAGGGCCGGGTGGAGGTGCTGTACCGAGGCTCCTGGGGCACCGTGTGTGATGACAGCTGGGACACCAACGACGCCAACGTGGTGTGCAGGCAGCTGGGCTGTGGCTGGGCCACGTCGGCCCCCGGCAGTGCCCGGTTTGGGCAGGGCTCAGGCCCGATCGTCCTGGACGACTTGCGGTGCTCAGGACACGAGTCCTACCTGTGGAGCTGCCCCCACAACGGCTGGAACTCGCACAACTGCGGCCACTCGGAGGACGCGGGGGTCATCTGCTCAGGTGGGCCTAGCTCTTTGGGGTCCCTATCGTGGGACTGGTTTCCAAGGATAAGGTCCCCCTTCTGTTCGAACCCCCTGACTCACAGCTGCTACTACATTTCCTGTTTCCCTGATGGCTCCTTCGCTCACTGCAGACAGTGACCTTGGTTTTGTTCTGTTGCCAGGGGGTGCGGTGGTGAATTAGGCCAAAGGGTGCCCCTGGCAGTTACCATGCACTTGTACTCACTACTGTGACGGTGCAGGCAGGGGGAGGGAAGAAGCGCTGGAAGTGGGTGTTTGCACAGACGCACTTGGATTACGACTGCAGACGTGAGAGTGCATGTTCATGGCAGAGCCTCCAAGGCCAGGGTTCTGAGTCCAGGTCTAAGTCCCTGCACAGAAGCGGGATTCACAGCGTGGATACAAGGCCTTCTGTGTCAGGGCCACGTGCCCCCAGGGGGAAGGTAAGGTGAAGTTTGTAATTGCCTTTGGTCAGGCCTGAATGATCCCACGTAGGATTTGCGCCTGGAAAAGGACTCCTCAGCCAAGTCACCTCTGTGGACAGGGTCATGCTGACAGGTGGGCCACTGGTCTATGGGAAAAGTGGGTCAGGACATGTCCACGCAGAGCTGCCCCCCTTGACGATGGCAGGAGTGGAAGGGGTCTGCCCAGACCTCTCAGTGGGAGCACCTTCCAGGGCTGAGGATGGCCACTGCCTCACCCTCCCTGGCAGGGGACGAGCATGGACTGAGGGTCTGACCTGCGCTGAGCCCCCCAGCTGTGCTTCCACCAGAGCCGCCTCTTGTGCAGTGTGTCTGACCTGATCTTCTCTCTCCACAGCCTCCCATCCGCAGTCCACCACCACTCCAGGTGAGTCCTCCCGCCTCCTGAACCCTGGGTATCTCTCCTCTCTCTGTTGCCCTCAAAGGCTCCCAGCCAGCAGGGCCAGGAGGGGCCTGTGGAGGTTTTCTGCCCGCCAGCACCTCCGCTGATCACTGTAATGCACGAGTCAGTTTCCGTTGAGCCCACCCACGTCCCTCTTCCTGTCTGGTGCCGTGAATAGGAGCATCGTGGCTCTAGCATCCTCTCCTAGCAGTGCTGGTGACAGTGACAGGGGGAGCTCGATCCTGGGTCTTTTGTGCTTGAAAGCATCCTCTGGGCTTCGTGTAATAGGAAACCAGAGACCTTTCCCGGCACACCCCGCTCAGGACCATAGGCATGCTTATGCCAAAGGGCACTGCGTCCGGAGGGCACTGGCCTTGCTCGTGCAGCTGGCTCCACCTTGCTGCCCCATTGTGGACCTCCCAGGGCACACCTGGGGCTCAGGAAAGGCCCCCCCTCATCTGTCTTTGGACCTTCTCACCCCTCAGTGCCTGGCACCAGCTACAGGTTCATGACCCAGTCCTGTCTGTCCCCTCCTAATAATCCTCCCTTTGGTCTCTGCAGACTGGTGGCGCACAACGACCCCTGTTTACGGTAAGCATCTCCGAAGCATCAGCTGTGCACATGGCAGTGACCAGCCTCGGGGGAAATTCTGACTCCTGGGTTAAGCCTCTGGGCTCCCAGCTCATCCAATGTGAGGGTCACCATTACCTCCCAGAATTCCAGTTATCCCATTACTTGGAGGTTATGGGACATTTTGGTTAGGATATTTTTTACACCTAACAGAGACCCCCTCAAACATTCTTAAGCTGGAGGAGACCTCAATTGCATACATGTTTAGGACATTTTGGGTGAGCCTCGCCCCAGGGGCCCCTGGCTTCTGACAAGCTCTGGGACAGGCTGCGTCCCCATCCCACCCTCAGTCAGGGGAGCTTCTTGGTTCTCACTGTGCCTGACACCCCAGCTTCAGGGCCCTGCCCCAATCTCGGTTCTACCCCCTCCTTCTAATGCTCCTTGTTGTCTCTCTCCAGACTGGTGGACCACGAGGACTCCTGTCACTGGTAAGTGGAGGGGCACCCTGAGGCATCAGCGCTCAGCACTGCAGTGACCAGGCCTGGGTGACCCTCCTGCCTCCTGGGCTGACCCTCTGACCTCCCCAGCCCATCCGATGAGTGGGGCTCCCTTCACCTGACAGGAAAGGGATATATTTGTCCCTGTGTTTTCCTTGCAACTGACCGGAAGCCTCCTCAAAGGCTCAGACTCTGCAAAGGAGCTTAATGGCTCACCTATTCAGGACATTTGGGGGTAATGACTGGCTTCAGGTGCAGCTGGATCCAGAAGAACCATGACTGTATGTCCCCCTGGACACTTCTTACATCCACATTGCCCCGTAGATCGCCTCCACAGCATGCGTTCTCTCTGCGCAGGGGTGCGGTTGCCATCCCCGAGTCTAAATCCCACCAGAACAGAGACTCTGTGTACAATGTTTGTATGCTGAACAGTCCTGGATGGACTCTGGGCAGCCTGGTGGCACAGGTGCCTTCTCCTGACGTCTCTCCACGTGTGACCTGATATGCCAGTCAGGCCCATATGTCAGCCTTCATATTCCGCAGGGATCGAGGGAGAGTAAGTGGCAGGAGGATGTATTTGAACCTCGGGAAGCGCTTTGGTTGCTGGTTCTCTTCAACAGGAAGGGGGTGCCCTGTAATGACACCAATCAGGGCAGGAGGCCCGAGTTTCAGAACCGGCTGCCCAGTAGAACGTGGTCCTCCTGCAGTACTGTGTGCGGGTGCTGTGTGTTGCGTCCCCAGTCCTAGGACAGAGCCTTGCCTCTCCCTGGGGTGGTGCCCACACCTACACTCTGCCCTTGTGCTGACCTCGGGCCCAGTGCCTGGTTCTGAGCTGACAGTGCTATTTCCTCAGGGAACTCGGAGGTCCTCGATGTGCCCTTGAAGCCTGGTCCGTTGTCTTCTGGGGGTACAGGTGGTGTCTCAACTCACCTGCCAGGACCCTGCACGAAGCCCAGGCTCCTGGTCTGGGAGTCTGAACGGGACAAATTGGCAAATATTACTGTCCCCTGCCTGTGATTCTCTGTGCCCTCTGCTACCATCCGAGTCACCACGTTAACATGTCTGGCCCCATAGGCTTTCAATACCTCCCAGAGTGCTACACCCTCACCACCATGTGGCTCCAGCATTTTTGATGTCCCCCAGTGAAACCCCACAGATGGTTACCGGAGAGACACGGTCCTTTCTCCTCTTGTAATTACTCAGCTGCTAGGGCCCCTACGGATTTGCCTATTCATGATTTTCTCATGGACACAATCACGTAATTGGTTGGCTTTTGTGTCTGGGTTCTCTTGGTACATCATTCATGCTTCATGTATGACTTAGCATGTTTGATGGCTTCTTTCCTTTGTATGACTGAATATTCCTCTGCTGTAGGGTTAGACCACATTTTCTCCATCCATTCATCTGTTGATGGACATTTGGGTTTTTCCTGCCATATCACTACTAGGGTCAACGCTAGTATGTACACTCAGGTACCGTTTGAGTGTACCGCCTATGTCAGGTTATTGTGGTCATACACGCCGGAGTATTCTTGCGGGCGCATGGGACTGTCCTATGGCTGGCTGAGTGTGGGAGCGCTGAGCTTCTTTTCATAGCTGCTGGACCACTTTGTGTGTCCACCAGCATCACTTGCGTGTCTGGGTCTTGACATCCTCACCGTCGCTCATCGTGTGTCTTTCCCATGCTGGCCACCAAGGCAAGTGTGAAGGGGTATTCCACTGTAGTTTGATGGGCATTTCCCTATTGAGTTATGATGTCAGGCCTCTCTTCATGAGCTGCATGGGTATGTACATACGTTATGAGTAGACTATCTTCCTTTTATAGCCAACTGAAGACCATGGGCCCAGGTCGTGGTCATTGCCCTAGGCCATCTGGTCACTTAGCGAATCAGGATCAGGGCAACACTGAGGGGTCATGATGTCTGGTTAAGTCGTGTGCCTCACAAGTGACATTTCTGCAGGGAGTTCAAATTCTGCTGTTTTATTACCACTCACATGCATGGGTACCTCTACATATGCACACATAGATGATGGTACAGTCACACATGCCCACTGTCACGATGTACAGTGGCCCATGATGTGCTTGACTCAGGGTAAGCACTGAGCTTGAAAGCAGCAGGAGTCAGTGCTGAGTGGACAGGAGCCTTCAGAGCTCGGGTCGGGCCCATGGTGTGGGGCCCTGGATCCAGAGTAAGTCTGCGGAACCTGTAGCCATTATGCCCAGCGCCAAGGCTGGTCCTTGGTGGGTTGCAGACTGTCCCTGGTGATGAGCTGCTGAGGGGGCTCAGGTAGATCTCTGTGGTCCCGGCAGATACAGGCTGATGGTGTTAGCCCCTTATTCCCGAGGCCAGTCTCAGTGTTTGAGTTGCTGAGCAGTGGGAAAAAAACTGGAGAAGTAGAAAGCTCAGCCCACGGCCTAGGCTTCTGCCCATTAGCCCCTTGAGAGGCAGGAGTGATTTAGAGGCTTCAGTCAACCCCCATTGCTAACATCACCCCAAACCCAGAATCCACGGGCCATATGCAATCTGAATCCCACCCAGACCTCGGGCCTGTTCTTCAAGGAGACTCAGGAGAGGGTGACTTTCCATGTCCCCCTGTAGGGTCTGAATCAGGTTTGGCCCTGAGGCTGGTGAACGGCAGTGACCACTGTCAGGGCCGGGTGGAGGTCCTGTACCGAGGCTCCTGGGGCACCGTGTGTGATGATAGCTGGGACACCAACGACGCCAACGTGGTGTGCAGGCAGCTGGGCTGTGGCTGGGCCACGTCGGCCCCCGGTAGTGCACGGTTCGGGCAGGGCTCAGGCCCGATCGTCCTGGATGACTTGCGGTGCTCAGGGCACGAGTCCTACCTGTGGAGCTGCCCCCACAACGGCTGGAACTCGCACAACTGCGGCCACTCGGAGGACGCGGGGGTCATCTGCTCAGGTGGGCCTAGCTCTTTGGGGTCCCTATGGTGGGACTGGTTTCCAAGGACATGGTCCCCCCTCTGTCGGGACACCCTGACTCACAGCTGCTACTACATTTCCTGTTTCCCTGACATCTCCTTCGCTCACCACCGACAGTGACCTTGGTTTTTTTCTGGTTACCATGTGGGGTGGTGGTGATATGGGACAACAGGTGCCCCTATAATTCACCATCTGCCTGTAGTCACTACAGTCATGTTGCACTGAGAGGGAAGTAAGTGCAGAAAGGGCGTGTGTGTGCATGGTCTCATGTGTCCTAGGCTTGCACACCTGAGTGTTCATGCTGATGTCTAGGCCAGGGTAGGTTCCTGAGACCAGGTATAAGTCCCTGCACAGAAGCAGGATTTGCGGCCTGGATACCAGGCCTGCTGTGTCAGGGCCACAAGCCCCCAGGGCACATGCCAGGCAAAGTTTGTAATTGCCTCTGGTCAGGCCTGAATGATCACACGTGGGATTTGCACCTGAAACAGGATGCCTCAGTCAGGTCACCACTATGGACAGGGACATGCTGACAGGTGGGCCACTGGTCTATGGGAAAAGCGGGTCATGATATATCTACGCAGAGCTGCTCCCCTTGACAATGGCAAGAGTGGAAGGGGTCTGCCCAGACCTCTCAGTGGGAGCACCTTCCAGGGCTGAGGATGGCCACTGCCTCACCCTCCCTGGCAGGGGACGAGCATGGACTGAGGGTCTGACCTGCGCCGAGCCCCCGAGCTGTGCTTCCACCAGAGCCGCCTTCTGTGCAGTGTGTCTGACCTGATCTTCTCTCTCCACAGCCTCCCATTCGCAGTCCACCACCACTCCAGGTGAGTCCTCCCGCCTCCTGAACCCTGGGTATCTCTCCTCTCTCTGTTGCCCTCAAAGGCTCCCAGCCAGCAGGGCCAGGAGGGGCCTGTGGAGGTTTTCTGCCCGCCAGCACCTGCGCTGATCACTGTAATGCACGAGTCAGTTTCCGTTGAGCCCACCCACGTCCCTCTTCCTGTCTGGTGCCGTGAATAGGAGCATCGTGGCTCTAGCATCCTCTCCCAGCAGTGCTGGTGACAGTGACTGGGGGAGCTCGATCCTTGGGTCTTTTGTGCTTGAAAGCATCATCTGGGCTTCGTGTAATAGGAAACCAGAGACCTTTCCCGGCACACCCCGCTCAGGGCCATAGGCATGCTTATGCCAAAGGGCACTGCGTCCGGAGGGCACTGGCCTTGCTCGTGCAGCTGGCTCCACCTTGCTGCCCCTTGGTGGACCTGCCAGGGCACACCTGGGCCTCAGGAAAGGCTCCCCCTCCTCTGGCCGTGGAGCTTCTCACCCCTCAGTGCCTGGCACCAGCTACGGGTTCATGACCCAGTCCTGTCTGTCCCCTCCTAATAATCCTCCCTTTGGTCTCTGCAGACTGGTGGCGCACAACGACCCCTGTTTACGGTAAGCATCTCCGAAGCATCAGCTGTGCACATGGCAGTGACCAGCCTCGCGGGAAATTCTGACTCCTGGGTTAAGCCTCTGGGCTCCCAGCTCATCCAATGTGAGGGTCCCCGTTACCTCCCAGAATTCCAGTTATCCCATTACTTGGAGGTTATGGGACATTTTGGTTAGGATGTTTTTTGCACCTAACAGAGACCCCCCTCGAACATTCTTAAGCTGGAAGAGACCTCAATTGCATACATGTTTAGGACATTTTGGGTGAGCCTCGCCCCAGGGGCTCCTGGCTTGTGACAAGCTCTGGGACAGGCTGCGTCCCCACCCCCAACCCCACCCTCAGTCAGGGGAGCTTCTTGGTCCTCACTGTGCCTGACACACCAGCTTCAGGGCCCTGCCCCAATCTCGGTTCTACCCCCTCCTTCTAATGTTCCTTGTTGTCTCTCTCCAGACTGGTGGACCACGACGACTCCTGTCACTGGTAAGTGGAGGGGCACCCTGAGGCATCAGCGCTCAGCATTGCAGTGACCAGGCCTGGGTGACCCTCCTGCCTCCTGGGCTGACCCTCTGACCTCCCCAGCCCATCCGATGAGTGGGACTCCCTTTACCTGCCAACAATGGGATATATTTGTCCCTGTGTTCTCCTTGCAACTGACCGGAAGCCTCCTCAAAGGCTCAGACTCTGCAAGGGAGCTCAATGGCTCACCTATTCAGGACATTTATGGGTAATGACTGGCTTCAGGTGCAGCTGGATCCAGAGGAGCCATGGCTGTACGTCCCCCTGCACATATCTTGCATCCACATTGCCCTGTGGATCACTTCCACAGCGTGCGTGCTCTCTGCACAGGGGTGAAGTTACCAACCCCGGGTCTCCATCCCACCAGGAGAGAAACTCTATGTCCCATGTTCACAGGCTGACCGGTCCTGGATAGACTCTGGGCATCCTGGTGGCACAGGTGCCCTCTCCTGATGTCTGTCCACGTGTGACCTGATATGCCAGTCAGGGCCCATATGTCAGCCTTCATATTCCCCAGGGATGGAGGGAGAGTAAGTGGCAGGAGGATGTATTTGAACCTCGGGGAAGCGCTTTGGTTGCTGGTTGTCATGAACAGGAAAGGGGTGTCCTGTAATGACACCAGTCAGGGCAGGAGGCCCGAGGTTCAGAACCGGCTGCCCAGTAAGGCGTGTTCCTCCTGCGGTACTCTGTGCGGGTGCTGCATGTCGCTTCCCCCATCCGTGGGCAGAGCCTTGCCTCTCCCTGGGGTGCCCACACCTGAGCTCTGCCCTTGTGCTGACCTCGGCCCCAGTGCCTGGTTCTGAACTGACAGTGCTATTTCCTCAAGAACTCGGAGGTCCTTGATGTGCCCTTGAATCCTGGTCCCTTGTCTTCTGGGGGTCAGGCGGTGTCTCAACTCACCTGCCAGGACCCTGCACTAAGACCGGACTCCTGGTTCTGGGATTCGGAATGGCAGAAAATGGCAAATATGACTGTCCCTCTGCCTGTGATTCTCTGTGCCCTCTGCTAGCATCCGAGTCACCACATTAACATGTCTGGTCTCATAGGATTTCAGTACCTCCCAGAGTGCTATGTCCTCACCACCATGTGGCTCCAGCATTTTTGATCTCCCCCTGTGAAACCCCACAGCTCCTTACCGGACAGACACGGTCCTTTCTGCTCTGGTAATTAGTCATCCGCTAGGGCTCCAGTGGATTTAGCTATTCATGATTTTCTCACGGAAACCATCAGGAAATAGGTTGCCTTTTGTGTCTGGATTCTCTTGGTACATCGTTCACGCTTCATGTATGACATAGCATGTTTGAAGTCTTCCTTCCTTTGTATGACTGAATACTCCTCCACTGTAGGGTTAGACCACATTTTCTCCTTCCATTCATCTGTTGATGGACATTTGGGTTTTTACTGCCATATCGCTATTAGGGTCAGCACTAGTACATGCACTCAGGTGACATTTGAGCGCGTGTGTCCGGTTATTGTGGTCTTACACGCCGGAGTATTCTTGCAGGGTCATGGGGCTATCCTATGGCTGAGTGAGTGTTGGAGCGCTGAGCCTCTTTCCACAGCGACTGGACCATTTTGTGTGACCATAAGCATCATGTTCGTGTCTGGTTCTCGAAATCCTCACCGTCGCTCATTATTGTGCGTCTTTCCCATGCTGGCCACCCAGGCAGGTGTGGGGGGCATCCCACTGTGGTGTGACGGGCATTTCCCTATGGAGTGATGATGTCAGGCCTCTCTTCACATGCTGGCTGGCCATGTAGATATGTTGTTCGGAGTGGAGCATCTTCCTTCTATAGTCACCTGATGGCAGTGGGCCCGGGACATTGTCAGCACCCTATGCCATCTGGGCAGCTAGCGACCCAGGATCAGGGCGACACTGAGGGGTCATGATGTCTGGTGAAGTCGTGTGCTTGGCAGGTGACATTTCTGCAGGGACGTCCAACTCTGCCGTTTTATTTTCTTTGCCACTCACAGGCCATGGGTGTCTCTAAGTCTGCACAGGTAGATGAGAGTACAGTCACACATGCCCGCTGTCCCATGTACAGGGGAATGTGGTGTGTTTGACTCAGGGCAAGCTTTTGGCTTGAAAGTGACAGGATTCAGTGCTGAGCGGACAGGAGTCTTTAGAACTCGGGTCAGGGCCATGGTGTGGGGCCCCGGATCCGGGATAAGTCCTCTGAGGCTGTAGCCCTTCTACCCAGGGCCCAGGCAGGTCGTTGGTGGGGTGCAGGCTGTCTCTGGTGGTGTGCTGCTGAGGGGGCTTAGGTAGATGTGGTCATGGCAGATGCAGGCTGATGGCGATAGCCCCTGAGTCCGGAGGCTGGGCTTAGCGTTTGAATTGCACAGCATTAGGATAAGATCTAGAGAACCACAGAGCTCAGCCCACGGCTAAGGCTTCTCCTCATTTGCCCCTTGAGAGTCAAGAATGATGAAGAGGCTTCTGTCAAGCACCATTGATGGCGAACATAACCCAAAACCCACAAGCCAGGGATCGTCGATCTGAATCCCACACAGATCCCAGGGCCTGTTGTTCATGAGACTTAGGAGAGTGTAACTTTCCATGTCCCCCTGTAGGGTCCGAATCAGGTTTGGCCTTGAGGCTGGTGAACGGCGGTGACCGCTGTCAGGGCCGGGTGGAGGTGCTGTACCGAGGCTCCTGGGGCACCGTGTGTGATGACAGCTGGGACACCAACGACGCCAACGTGGTGTGCAGGCAGCTGGGCTGTGGCTGGGCCACGTCGGCCCCCGGCAGTGCCCGGTTTGGGCAGGGCTCAGGCCCGATCGTCCTGGACGACTTGCGGTGCTCAGGGCACGAGTCCTACCTGTGGAGCTGCCCCCACAACGGCTGGAACTCGCACAACTGCGGCCACTCGGAGGACGCGGGGGTCATCTGCTCAGGTGGGCCTAGCTCTTTGGGGTCCCTATCGTGGGACTGGTTTCCAAGGATAAGGTCCCCCTTCAGTTCGAACCCCCTGACTCACAGCTGCTACTACATTTCCTGTTTCCCTGATGGCTCCTTCGCTCACTGCCGACAGTGACCTTGGTTTTGTTCTGTTGCCAGGGGGTGCGGTGGTGAATTAGGCCAAAGGGTGCCCCTGGCAGTTACCATGCACTTGTACTCACTACTGTGACGGTGCAGGCAGGGGGAGGGAAGAAGCGCTGGAAGTGGGTGTTTGCACAGACGCACTTGGATTACGACTGCAGACGTGAGAGTGCATGTTCGTGGCAGGGCCTCCAAGGCCAGGGTTGTGAGTCCAGGTCTAATTCCCCGCACAGAATCGGGATTCACAGCATGGATACCAGGCCTGCTGTGCCAGGGCCACGTGCCCACAGGGGGAAGGTGAGGTGAAGTTTGTAATTGCCTTTGGTCAGGCCTGAATGATCCCACGTAGGATTTGCACCTGGAAAAGGACTCCTCTGCCAAGTCACCTCTGTGGACAGGGTCATGCTGACCGGTGGGCCACTGGTCTATGGGAAAAGTGGGTCATGACATGTCTACGCAAAGCTGCCCCCCTTTTCGATGGCAGGAGTGGAAGGGGTCTGCCCAGACCTCTCAGTGGGAGCACCTTCCAGGGCTGAGGATGGCCACTGCCTCACCCTCCCTGGCAGGGGACGAGCATGGACTGAGGGTCTGACCTGCGCCGAGCCCCCCAGCTGTGCTTCCACCAGCTGAGCCGCCTTCTGTGCAGTGTGTCTGACCTGATCTTCTCTCTCCACAGCCTCCCATTCGCAGTCCACCACCACTCCAGGTGAGTCCTCCCGCCTCCTGAACCCTGGGTATCTCTCCTCTCTCTGTTGCCCTCAAAGGCTCCCAGCCAGCAGGGCCAGGAGGGGCCTGTGGAGGTTTTCTGCCCGCCAGCACCTGCGCTCATCACTGTAATGCACGAGTCAGTTTCCGTTGAGCCCACCCACGTCCCTCTTCCTGTCTGGTGCCGTGAATAGGAGCATCGTGGCTCTAGCATCCTCTCCCAGCAGTGCTGGTGACAGTGACTGGGGGAGCTCGATCCTTGGGTCTTTTGTGCTTGAAAGCATCATCTGGGCTTCGTGTAATAGGAAACCAGAGACCTTTCCCGGCATACCCCGCTCAGGGCCATAGGCATGCTTATGCCAAAGGGCACTGCGTCCGGAGGGCACTGGCCTTGCTCGTGCAGCTGGCTCCACCTTGTTGCCCCTTTGTGGACCTGCCAGGGCACAACTGGGGCTCAGGAAAGGCTCCCCCTACTCTGGCCGTGGTGCTTCTCACCCCTCAGTGCCTGGCACCAGCTATGGGTTCATGACCCAGTCCTGTCTGTCCCCTCCTAATAATCCTCCCTTTGGTCTCTGCAGAGTGGTGGCGCACAATGACCCCTTATTACGGTAAGCATCTCCGAAGCATCAGCTGTGCACATGGCAGTGACCAGCCTCGCGGGAAATTCTGACTCCTGGGTTAAGCCTCTGGGCTCCCAGCTCATCCAATGTGAGGGTCCCCATTACCTTCCAGAATTCCAGTTATCCCATTACTTGCAGGTTATGGGACATTTTTTGCACCTAACAAAGACCCACTCAAACTGTCTTAAGCTGGAAGAGACCTCAATTGTGTACATGTTTAGGACATTTTGGGTGAGCCTCACCCCAGGGTACCTGGCTTGTGACAAACTCTGGGACAGGCTGCGTCCCCACCCCCCACCCCACCCTCAGTCAGGGGAGCTTCTTGGTCCTCACTGTGCCTGACACCCCAGCTTCAGGGCCCTGCCCCAATCTCGGTTCTACCCCCTCCTTCTAATGTTCCTTGTTGTCTCTCTCCAGACTGGTGGACCACGACGACTCCTGTCACTGGTAAGTGGAGGGGCACCCTGAGGCATCAGCGCTCAGCATTGCAGTGACCAGGCCTGGGTGACCCTCCTGCCTCCTGGGCTGACCCTCTGACCTCCCCTGCCCATCCGATGAGTGGGGCTCCCTTTACCTGCCAACAATTGGTTATATTTGTCCCTGTGTTCTCCTTGCAACTGACCGGAAGCCTCCTCAAAGGCTCAGACTCTGCAAGGGAGCTCAATGGCTCACCTATTCAGGACATTTATGGGTAATGACTGGCTTCAGGTGCAGCTGGATCCAGAGGAGCTATGGCTGTATGTCCCCCTGCACACTTCTTGCATCCACATTGCCCTGTGGATCACTTCCACAGCGTGCATGCTCTCTGCACAGGGGTGCAGTTGCCAGCACCGCGTCTAAATCCCACCAGGACAGAGACTCTGTGTCCCATGTTTGCAGGCTGACCTGGATAGACTCTTTGCATCCTGCTCTGCACAGGTGCCCTCTCCTGACATCTGTCCATGTGTGACCTGATATGCCAGTCAGGGCCCCTATGTCAGCCTTCATATTCCCCAGGGATGGAGGGAGAGTAAGTGGCAGGAGGATGTATTTGAACCTCGGAAAAGTGCTCTGGTTGCTGGTTCTCTTGAACAGGAAGGGGGTGCCCTGTAATGACACCAATCAGGGCAGGAGGCCCGAGGTTCAGAACTAGCTGCCCAGTAGAATGTGGTCCTCCTGTGGTACTGTGTGCGGGTGCTGCATGTCACTACCCCAGTCCTCGGGCAGAGCCTTGCCTCTCCCTGGGGTGGTGTCCACACCTGAGCTCTGCCCTTGTGCTGACCTCGGGCCCAGTGCCTGGTTCTGAACTGACAGTGCTATTTCCTCAGGGAACTCGGAGGTCCTTGAAGTGCCCTTGAAGCCTGGTCCCTTGTCTTCTGGGGTACAGGTGGTGTCTCATGTCACCTGCCAGGACCCTGCAGTATGACCATGCTCCTTGCCTGGGAGTCGGATCCGGAGTAAATGGCAAATATCACTGTCCCTCTGCCTGCCATTCTCTGTGCCCTCTGCTACCATCCGAGTCACCACATTAACGTGTCTGGCACCGTAGGGTGTCAGTACCTCCCAGGGTGCTACACCCTCACCACCATGTGGCTCCAGCATTTTTCATCTCCCCTCGTGTAACCCCACAGCTGCTTACCGGACAGGCACGGTCCTTTCTGCTCTGGCCCCTATGGAGTTGCCTGTTCACGATTTTCTCATGGACACTGTCACGTAGTAGGTTGCCTTTTGTGTCTGGATTCTCTTGGTACATCATTCACACTTCATGTGTGACATAGCATGTTTGAAGTCTTCCTTTGTATTGCTGAATACTCCTCCGCTGTAGGGTTAGACCACATTTTCTCCTTCCATTCATCTGTCGATGGACATTTGGGTTTTTACTGCCATATCGCTATTAGGGTCAGCACTAGTACATGCACTCAGGTGCCGTTTGCGCGCGTGTGTCCGGTTATTGTGGTCTTACACGCTGGAGTATTCTTGCAGGGTCATGGGACTGTCCTATGGCTGACTTACTGTGGGATATCTGAGCCATTTTCCACAGCAGCCTGACCATTTTGTGTGACCACCAGCGTCACTTGCGTGTCTTGTTCTCGATATCCTCACCATTGCTCATTATCGTGTGTCTTTCTCATGCTGGCCACCCAGGCAGGTGTGAGCAGACATCCCACTGTGGTTTGACGGGCATTTCCCTATTGAGTGATGATGTCAGGCCTCTCTTTACGGGCTGGGTGGGCATGCACATATGTTGTTAGGAGTGGAGCCTCTTCTTTTTATATCTGCCTGAAGGCCATGGGCCCAGGTCATGGTCAGCATCCTAGGCCAGCTAGTCGGCTCGCGACCCAGGATCAGGGTGACACTGAGGGGTCATGGTGTCTGGTGAGGTCATGTTCCTGGCAGGTGATGTTTCTGCAGGGAGGCCCACCTCTGTCATTTTATTTTTCTCTACCTCTCACAGGTGATGGTTACCTGTAAGTATGCAGAGTTAGGTAATTGTGACAGTGGCACATGCCCACTGTCACCATATACAGTGGCCCATAGTGCGTTTGGCTCAGGGCAGGCTTTGGGCTTGAAAGGTACAGAAGTCACTGCTGAGTGGACAGGAGCCCTCAGAACTAGCATCTAGCTCATCAGGTGGGTCATTGTATCCGAAATAAGTCCACTGACACTGGGGGCCCTAAAGTCTAGGGTCCAGGCTGGTCCTTGGTGGGTTGCAGGTTGTCCTCCTGGTGGTGTGCTGCTGAGGTGGCTCAGGTGAATCTTTGTAGTCAGGGCAGGTGCAGGCTGATGGCGTCCCCTTTTGCCCCAGAGTCCCAAGGCAGGACTCAGCATTTGTATTGCAGGGCAGTGGGGAAATAATTGCAGAAGGGCAGAGGTTAGCTCGCGGCCAAGGCTTTACTCCATTAGCCCCTTGAGAGGCAAGAATGATGAAGAGGCTTCAGTCAACCCCCATTGCTGCTAACATCACCCCAAACCCAGAAGCCAGGGGCCATATGCAATCTGAATCCCACCCAGACCTCGGGGCCTGTTCCTTCAGGAGACCCAGGAGAGGGTGACTTTCCATGTCCCCCTATAGGGTCCGAATCGGGTTTGGCCTTGAGGCTGGTGAACGGTGGTGACCGCTGTCAGGGCCGTGTGGAGGTCCTGTACCGAGGCTCCTGGGGCACCGTGTGTGATGACAGCTGGGACACCAATGACGCCAACGTGGTGTGCAGGCAGCTGGGCTGTGGCTGGGCCAAGTCGGCCCCCGGCAGTGCCCGGTTTGGGCAGGGCTCAGGCCCAATCGTCCTGGACGACTTGCGGTGCTCAGGGCACGAGTCCTACCTGTGGAGCTGTCCCCACAACGGCTGGAACTCACACAACTGCGGCCACTCAGAGGATGCGGGGGTCATCTGCTCAGGTGGGCCGTGTTGATATCTGGGCCTATTCTGAGTGCTTTTGGGGGAGAACCATCCCAGTGTCCACTCGTTGCCTTCCCCCTATGCCTCTCTGGGGGCTTGTGTCAACATCCTGCCCACTGAGTCTTTTTTTTTTTTTTCGTTTTCTTGCAGGTGTGCACACCACTGCTTCTACCCCAGGTGAGTCCCTGTCGCTGTTCTTAACAATCTTCTACCTGAATTTCCACCCCTCATATTTCTAGAAGTAGGAGCAGAGGAGCAGCCTCCTCCCTGCAGGGTCCCTGGAGTAGTGACCATGTCCTATTGAGTCACCTCGACTATGGTTTTTCCTTGGCTCCCTGTCGAGATCCCCTCTCCCCTCCTTCTGCTGTTTCAGAGAGATTGTGGTGGCGGAGCTTTTGTTCCTCTGGTTATATCAGATAGGACAGTAACTATCCAAGTCATGCTCTGCAGAATTGTGCCCATTTTAGAAACAAGGCCAAGTAATCCCACTACAAGTGTTTGTTAAAGAATTCCTTCATGTTGAGAGCAATCCCCACAGTGTTCTTTGTACCATAATGAAGATATATGGTACCAAATATATTGGGAGGTGCTACATATGCCAGCCTTTCTGGGCTATTCACAGTGTACATTGGATTGTTTAAGGCTCTGAGAAGGCCTGCAATTTTGAGAAAGATTTAATGTTATCAAATTACTGTTTGTGGAATTTTTGAAATACTCAGTGGAATCCTAACATCATTTCATTATCTTTTTAGGTTGGTGGCACTCATCATCTGTAACCACTGAGGGTAAGAGTATCACATTTTTCCACCTAAACCGTAGGGGATGGATATCTTATTGTCAGGTTTGGCTGTCCAGGCCATGGCTGTCTACAAAGCACAGCCCATCTCCACTTATGCACACAACCTACATGCCTGCCCATCACATTGCACCCAGGCCACACACACACGGCCAACACCCAGCATGCAGACACCATACCTTCATATCTCCCCTGCTGGGTAGATGACTTCTGTTTTCACTAAGGAGATCTCTTTCCTCTTCTTGTAAGTAAATGAGATAAGTGATTCTTAAAAGAATAGATTTTTAAATGCTTTTTTTTTTTCCTTGGAGTATCTCCAAAGCTTTGGCAGAAAGAAAGGAGACAATAAATGGATTCTGTCTCAAATAATCATGTTTTCAAAGTAGCTTTTACTTCGTGGCATGGATATTGTTCGGTAGCTTTCCCTTGCCTTCACAAAATGATGTGGTACTTCCTCATGTCACTGAATCTTCTCTCCCCATCATTTAAAATACCTACATTGTCTTCTATTGTACAGCCAAGCACATGAATTATTTACTCCCCAGTTGCTGGACATTTAAGTTGTTTATATTTCTTCATTATTATAAATGGTCCTGAGATATAGAATATTTTTATAAATAAATCTTTGGACACCTCAATTTTTCCATTAGAACAGAAATTGATTTATAGGACCAAAGTTAACATAGTGCCTGGTACATAGAATGTACTTAATAAATACTAAGTTTTATTATGTTAATTAACTATTTTAAGATCTTTGCTGTGTGCGTGGAAAAATCCTTATCAGAAATGGTTGTAAAATTACAGAGCTATGAAAAAGAGACACTCATCCCCTCCCTCAGGTAGCTCACGGTATTAAATATTTAATACCAAATTACTGATATGATTTTAAAGCTGTGGCAGGCATTTCAAAGAGAAGTTCTGTGTGCAAAGAGGACACACTGGCAGACACTTTACTTGTTAGTGAGTTTAGGGGAAGTTCTTTATGAAGCAACACTTACGTTAAGGTTTACAGGAGAAGCAGGTTCTCTGGCTGAAATGCCTTCCAGGCAGAAATAATGCTTTGCCCGCCTGGGCAGGAAGGAGCTCAGCCTTTTGAATGAGTCAGAGGTGGTGGCAGGAGGCACTGTCTGAGAGCAGGACAGGGGCCAGGTTATTCAGGGCTTTGTGGCAGGTTGGAACTCCTGACGTTAGCCTAAGGGCAGTGGGAGCTGTTGAAAGTTTTAAACTGGGAAATTACCAAAACAGATGTTTGTTTTCCAAATATCATGCTTGTCTTTTCTGCCAAACTGTGTCCTTCCTGAGGGCAGGACCCATGTCTGCCTTTTTCATCATTACATCCTTTTTACCCAGCATTGTATCTGGCATTCCATAAATGTTTGTAGAAAGAATAAATGAAAACATGAATGAAAAGGGTAAATTATAATTACTCTTGGATTTGATATATATTACACACACACACACAAATTATGGCATGCTTTAGACCCTATTTTATAGCATCCTTTTTCACTTGAGTATATAATAAATTTATTTTTCATAGCCTTTGTGTTAGCATTTTTTTTTGCTTATTTTTTAATTTTTAATTTTGGTATCATTAATCTACAATTGCAGAAAGAACATTATGTTTACTAGGTTTCCCCCTTCACCAAGTCCCCCCCCACATACCCCTTCACAGTCACTGTCCATCTGTGTAGTAAGATGCTGTAAAATCACTACTTGTCTTCTCTGTGTTGCGCAGCCCTCCCCGTGCCCCCCACGCACTATACATGCTAATCGTAATGCCCTCTTTCCTTTTCCCCGCCCTTATCCCTTCCTTCCCACCCATCATCCCCAGTGCCTTTCCCTTTGGTAACTATTAGTCCATTCTTGGGTTCTGTGATTCTGCTGCTGTTTTGTTCCTTCAGTTTTCCTTTGTTCTTATACTCCACATATGAGTGACATCATTTGGTACTTGTCCTTCTCCGCTTGGCTTATTTCACTGAGCATAATACCCTCTAGCTCCATCCATGTTGTTGCGAATGGTAGGATCTGTTTTTTTCTTATGGCTGCGTAATATTCCATTGTGTATATGTACCACATCTTCTTTATCCATTCATCTACTGATGGACATTTAGGTTGCTTCCATATCCTGGCTATTGTAAACAGTGCAGCAATAAACATAGGGGTGCATCTGTCTTTTTCAAACTGGAGTGCTGCATTCTTAGGGTAAATTCCTAGAAGTGGAATTCCTGGGTCAAATGGTAGGGTTAGCATTTTTATAGTATTGAAATTATTTCTATACCACAAAGTTTAATGGCTGTATAGTTTTCCATTCTATGGATAGACCATGATTTAGTTAAACAATTGCTAATTGTAGGAGGACAAAACAATTAATTTTTTCTAATGACATTTTATGTGCTTAGGTACATACAGTAATGGTTTTATTTTATTTTGCTTATAATTTGTATTATATTTTTATTTTTATTTTGTTTATAATTGTCTCTACTATATTTTGAGAAATTTGTAATGTATATCCTTATCTCTCAAACTTTGGCTTTATCCTTGATTATTTCTCAGCGTAGAAACAAACCTTCTGGGGAGGTATATTTTAAAGGCCAAATTACCTTTAAGAAACGCTGTTTTTTTTTGCAGAATGAGAATCTATTTGCAAATCACACATCTGATAAGAGACTGTCATCTAGAATATATAAAGAACTTTTAAAAGTCAATAATAAAAAGTTAAATAACCCATTTAACAAATGAGCAAAGGCACTAAATAGACATTTCTACACAGAAGATATACAAATGCTCAATAAGCCCATGAAAAGACACCTAGCATCATTAGCCATCAGGAAACTGCAAATCAAACCACAAAGAGATACCACTTCACACCCAGCATGATGGCCAGCTTCAAAAAGTCAGATAATAACAAGTGTGGATAAGGAGGGGGAGAAATTGGAATGTTCATACACTGCTAGTGGGAAAATAAATGGTACATCCACTGTAAAACACAGTTCGTTGGTTCCTCAAAAAGTTAAACAGTTACCATATGACCCAGCAATTATACTCCTAGACAGACATATACTCAGGAGAAAGGAAGCATATGTCCGCACAGAAACTTTTATGTGAATGTTCATAGATAATAGCATTATTTCGAACAGCCTCAAAGGAATAAACAAAATATAGTATATCCATACAATGGAATATTACTTTGCAATAAAAAGAAATGAAGTACTGATACATGTTCATTGTATGCCACAACACGGATGAACTTTGAAAACATGATGCTAAGTGAAAGATGCCAGTCACAAAAGACCACATTTTGTATGATTCTGTTTATACAAAGTGTCCAGAATGGGCCAATCTGTAGAGACATAAATTAGATTGGTGGCTGCCTAGGGCTGAGGGTTTTGGGGGGAAATGCAGACTGACTGCTGATGGGCACAGGGTTTCTCTTAGGAAGGATGAGATTGCCTGTAGTACTAGTTGCAGAACTCTGAACATACTAAAAACCACTGGATTGTACATTCTAGAAAAAACAAAGAAGTTATGAATAAAGAAAACAAAACCATTTCAATTAATATCGCCACTGAGTAAGTAAATATTTTTAAATGGTCTATTAAAATAAACCAACCAAAGCAAACCAAGGTTTGGATGCTTAATATTATTTATCACTCCCTGATAAATAGTAATAGCTTACATTTTGGGTGCTTATTATGTGCAGGGTACTGTTCTAAGGGTTTAAGTGTCCTAGCTCATTTAATGTCCATAGGAATCTGATGAGGCAGATACTATTATTACCCCCATTTTTCAGACAAAGAAACTGAGGCGAGAAGTTAAGTAACTTGCTCAAAATAGTGAGCTGATAAACACAGTGCCCAGATGCAAGTCCAGGCCTTCTGGGGCAGAAACCCTGCTCCTGACCCCACGTCACACCACTTCTTGTCAAGTGGCAGAATCTTATATTCCCAGTAGATGCCTGGGAATAAATTAATGGTACAGGGAGATCTCCACAGGCCAGCTCTTTGCTCAGCCAAGATTTATCCCCATGTCCCTCCCTGTGATGGATTGAATCATGACAGCAGTTGCTTTCCCACCTCCTTGGCAATTTTGCTGCAAGGTGACACATGCTCAGGCGGAAGCTTTAGTCACTCCTCGCCAGAGAATCACTGTTCTAGGCCCAGTGGGGGATGTAGAGACTCACATCAAGGCCCCTAACGTGAGGCAGCCTAGGAGCAGGCCTAAGAGAGGGGACTTCTTTCAGGAGAGATTGAGTCATGTTATACGTGCTGAAGAACCTCAGGACTCTTACCCAGAGGACTTTTGTCCCTTTCTCTCTCCTCTCTAGGACCCTCTTCAAATTGTGGTGGCATCTTCTTCAACACCAGTGGAACATTTTCCAGCCCATCCTACCCTGAATATTACCCCAACAATGCCAAGTGTGTCTGGGAAATAGTAGTGAACTCTAGCTATCGTGTAAACCTGGGCTTCAGCAACGTGCAGTGAGTAACGCCCAGGTCATCTGGTGAAGCATACGCCCTCCACGCACACCCTGTGGTCTGGGTTCAGTCCTGGGCTGGGTTGCTTTTCACTGTCAGGTGCCATGGACTAGATTTTAGATTTCCCCGATTCCTACCACAAAGCATCAAGCAATACTGGGAAGTCCTTTGATTTGACTGAGGAATAACAAGAAAATCTTAGATTCAATAACATCACTCTTGAAGTGCAAACTACCTATAAAACCTACGAGCAATAGAAATGTCAATGTTGACCCAAGTCTATTTTCCCATACAGATTGGAGATAAACAATAATTGCAGTCTCGATTATGTTGAAATCTTTGATGGATCGCTGAACAGCTATAATTTGCTGGGGAAAATTTGTAACGCCACCACGCAGATATTCACATCTTCTTATAATCGAATGATTGTTCGATTTCGGAGTGATGTCAGTTTCCAAAACACCGGCTTTTCGGCTTGGTATAACTCTTTTCCAAGAGGTTAGTGGGCACCAGAAGTGACCTCTAGGGCTCCATGTATTTATTCAGCACCCTTTTCAGTGAGCCTCCTGGTTCCTGTGTGAAATCAAAGGAGGGCTTCAGGAAGTGGGCACCAGAAGTGACCTCTAGGGCTCCATGTATTTATTCAGCACCCTTTTCAGTGAGCCTCCTGGTTCCTGTGTGAAATCAAAGGAGGGCTTCAGGACGGTGACGCCCATTTTCCTTACGTCGCGGCCAACCACAGTAAGCCAAGGCAGTGAGGTCTGGGGACTCGGGACACACTCTGGCCTTGGTCTGCTGCCAACTGCTTGGAAGACCTGGTGACTCACTCACCTTGCTGAGCCAGTGCCTTCCCATTTGGAGAGTGAATAGGCCTAAGCCCTGTGATGTCTGGAGCCCCTGGCCCCTCAGTCACGGAGCTGTCTGTACCCTGATCAGTGCCCCGTGGTGACTGTGAGGATGAGGAAAGGCCTGCAGGTCATTTGGCCTTTGAGATTTGTTGTGTGATATTGTTTTTCACACGTGTCTTTCAGATGCCAGCTTGAGATTAGTCAATTCAAACGTCTCCCATACATGTTCTGGGCGTGTGGAAATTTACCACGGTGGCAAGTGGGGGACAGTTTGTGATGATTCCTGGAGCATTCAGGATGCCCACGTGGTCTGCAGGCAGCTGGAGTGTGGATATGCAGTATCAGCCCTGGGAAACGCCTATTTTGGCTCTGGCTCTGGCCCCATCACCCTGGACGATGTGCAGTGCTCAGGGATGGAGTCTAACCTCTGGCAGTGCCAGAGCCGAGGCTGGTTCTCCCACAATTGTGCCCACAGTGAAGATGCTGGAGTCATTTGCTCAGGTATCTTATGACGTCATTCGTGGAAGGCTCGTTTCACCTCCGACCTGCTGCAAAGTGGAAGCTGAGGGCTGGTGGCCATTGGTATCTGTGGCTCAGTTCTGGGGGTGGGGGTCAGCAAGGACCTCTCAGCTTGTCCCCTCCAGGGGACCATGCAGGGGCTGCTCTATCTGGTGGCCCCATCTCTGCTGGCTTCCTGGGCCTCAGGGCCATTATACCAGCTACAGAACTGGCATCCAGTGTGTGTTTTTATTCTCCCATTTGCTCTGTGACCTTTAGCAGTGAGTTCATCTTTGTAAGTTTCTGTTTCCTTATTTACTAAAAAGAGATGATCATTATAGTATCTACCCTCCAACAGTGATTAGAGAATTAAACTGGTAACGTGTCAACCTTAGAACAATTCCGACAACTGGGAAGTGCTGAATAAACAATGGTGTTCTAACCTTGACTATGACCCTTATGACCCCCCCAAGTAACGATGGGGCTGGAGGAGCAGCTGGGGAAACTCACTCAGACCTCCCCCTGATAACATGGCCCCTGCAGCACTAGCCCAGGGGGCCACGGGTCACCCACTGATGGGGTCAGACCAGGAGTCACATGGGTATGCCCCTGCCTCATTCTAGCCTCTCCTTCCAGCCACACGTTAGTGACTGATGCTTTTCTTCTGTCCCTTTTTAGGAAGAAGTCACCTAACAACATTTGGTAAGTGCCCACAACTTCCATGTCACCACCTAGCTGCCCCCCCTGCTGCTCCTGGTCCCTAGACCATGCAGGGCCTATTGCTCACGCTCTGCAGTTTGCCCCTCAGTGGCACATGGCACCTGTGCAGCAGATGCCCAGCCCCGAGAGGGCTGGGCCTCGCTCCAGACTCCTCTTTGTCTTTGGGCAGCCTGGCCAGCCTAGGGTCAGACTTCTGGTTAGTCTCCAGGAAAGGACAGCCACTCATGCGGGTCCCACCAGTCCCCTGGGACACTAGACCCTGGTTTGTTGTAACCAGAGAAAGCTCTTCATTGCTGACTCCTGAGCTGCTGAAGCTGCTCTAAGAAACCAGCCTGCTCCTGCCCCCAGGAGAGCTGTCCTCTCCTCCCCTCCTGCCGTCTCACACCTGGCTTCCTGCAGCCACAGCATCTGGCTAGCCCCGTCCCCTCCCACACGCTCTCCTGGTGCAGCTGGTGTCTCTGTATGAAACACCCACGTCAGTCCCAGCCCGGAAGCCTTCAGGTGACTTCTCAGGGCCCTCTGAGTGCATATCCCCTCTGCTCAGGGCAACCGCTCGGCTCTGTGTGGTTCACTCCCCTTGCGTGTCTGGCTTCCTCTCTCCCTCCCCTCCCTGCACCATCCACCCCAGGGCCCCCCAAGTGCACCAGCTACTCTCATACCTGGGTCCCTTTGCACATGCTGTGCCCTCCGCCTGGAACACTCCTCTCTACCTTTTCGCCTGTGCCCCTGATTACGTCCCCCCTTTTCCCAGCTCAGTCTGGGCCAGGAGCCAAAGCTCTGGGCTCCCACTGCTTCGGGGGCTTTCCTCCATCCTAGCCCCTTCCCACTATGGGACTCACTCTTTTCCGCCATCTCCTCCAGGCTCTGAGCTGCCTGAGAGCGCAGCCTGTACCCAGTATCCCACTGTGCACGCAGGGTTGGCACATTTCTGGCCCAGAGGAAGCCGGCACTTAGCAATTGTATCAACGATGACAGGCAACTGATCATTATCTTCTCTGTTTGTCAACAGCTCCTGGGCAAAACGGCACCCGCCCAGCCAGTAAGTCCTGAGCTCCCCAACAAACCCCCTTCCCTTCCCCTCATGGGTAGTGACACTGAGGAGGGATGACAAGGATGATGAGGTGATGGCTTCCCAAGCATAGGAAGAGCCTCTTCCTGGCCCTCAGTGAACAGTCCAGATCCCGGCCACCTTCTGTTGGGCTTCGGTCTCAGGAATTGTTTTAAAATTTCCCCCAGCTGACTGCAGTGTGTGCTGGGGCTCATCGGCTTTTCCATTTTGTCCTGGCAGCAAATTATTCCTGTGGAGGCTTCCTGTCCCAGCCATCAGGGGTGTTTTCCAGCCCCTTCTATCCAGGGAACTATCCAAGTAACGCCAAATGTGTGTGGGACATCGAAGTCCAAAACAACTACCGCGTGACTGTGGTCTTCAGAGATGTTGAGTAAGTGTGTGGGCACAAAGCAGAACTCACAGGGGACCTTGCAGGCATGTAGGAGGGAATCAACGGTACCCTGACCTTCAGGGAAAGGCTTGTCAGCTGACATTTTTTTCTCCTGAGTTCAGTTTTTGACCTAGCACAGAGGCAGCCTGAGGAGGTGGGGTCAGGATAGGAGCCCTGGCTTAGAGTCCCTGTTCTGTCACTTTGCTGGGTAACCACAGGAAATCAGCTTTCCTGAACCTCCGTCAAAAGAGGGGAATAAAATGCCCACTTTCCTCCCCTGCTGGTTACTGGGAAGGTCACCAGAGAGGAATATATGCAAATACCTGGAAAATGTTATTCAATGGGAGGATTATTGTTAGGCATAGTAATTACACAAAGAATCCTTTTAACAACCACAGTTTTTTTTTCACTTTTTCTCTCTACTCCTCCTTTTCTTGGGTGAGTTCTGGGGCTCAGGCAAAGGTGGAGAAGTCTCTGCTGCAGAAGATAGGGTTCCTCATTCAATGAAAAGTGGGAATCATTATTTTAAGCAGAGGAAACATTATCAAAGCCACATTAGTATCTGACTGGTCCAAGGATGGGGGTGGCCCTGCAGAGCACCAGTATATTCCGGTGTCCTAGAAAAGGAAGACCATAATTTCTTCTCTAAGAGTCATCGTCGCATCAAAGAGTTGCAGTAGCCCTGGGGATCTCTATTTTGGAAATTCATTTGGGGTTTTGCAAAAGATATAATATTATTTTAATTTCCTCACCATTTTGGATTTGGGGAATGATACTTAAAGCTCACGAACTCCTACGGAGGACTGGCTCTTTATCCAGCATCTTAATAACAATGACCACCACCATGTAACATTTTATGAAGCACTTTTCCATATGTTATTTCATTTGAGCTTTGCAATAGCTTTGTGTAGTATGCATGGATAGGATTATTTCACCTCTGTAAATAAGAATGCTGAGCTTCAGAGAGGTTCTTTGACATACCCTATATTTATTTTTTCAATTATTTGTGTCTATCACTGTGAATTCATGGATATTTATTTTGCTCTGTGGGAACTTGGGGTCTTTTTGAAGAAAAAGTCTAAGGCTGTATTCGTTTCATGATACACAGTGCTTTCAGGAGAGGAGCTGTTGATTTCATGTGTGTGACCCCAACAGGTAGGACCCACGCATGGAGGTCATGGAAGATGACTCTCCACTCAATTTAAGAAACTCCGTTATTTTCAGTTGTTAATTTTGTCAGAGATTCTGGCACAAAATGTGACCCCCTCACTGAGACCGACCCTCTGCACTACATCCTGCTTAGAAGTGAAGGCAAAGGGTGTTCTCTCTGCAGGCTTGAAAGCGGCTGTAACTATGACTACGTGGAAGTGTTTGACGGACCCCACCAAAGCTCCCCGCTCATCACCCGGGTTTGCGATGGGGCCAGGGGCTCCCTCACTTCGTCGTCCAACTTTATGTCCATCCGCTTCGTCAGTGATGGCAGCATCACAAGGAGAGGGTTCAAGGCTAACTACTACTCTAGTCCGTCCAATGAAAGCACCAGTGAGTACCCCTCATGAGGGTGCCTCAGGGGCGGGGCGGCCTTCTGCTGCTTAACCATTCCGTGGTTGTGAGGTAAGAAACTTGAGCAGCTTTGCAGGTCACCAAGGTTGAAAGGGGCCAAGAGCAGGGGTCCTGGGACTCTGGCTGCCCAGAAACAAGGTCAAGGGCCAGAGGTGACTAGGGGGTGGTGTATCGGCCTTATTGTGGTCAGCAGAGACTAAGTACAAGGTGCAGGATGATGCTTCCTTCCAGCATATGGCAAGATGTCAGTGTCAAGGAAAGAGGTGAGCCCTGGCTTAAAGCCTGGTGAACATCCCAGAATGTGGACACTGTGACAGAACCGTGTCCTGAGAACTAGCACATTTGGCTGCTATCTGAGATGGAGTGAGCTGGTCACTCAGTCACTGCCAGCAGAGACTAATGGCCACGATTTGAGCTATTAAATGGGCTGATTGACAGATTGGCCAGGGTCTCTGTGAGATGGTGGCCAAGCTCTCTTTTGCAATCAGGATTTTATGCACTAACCGGCTCCATAGCCAAAATACCTTATTTTACCACAATTCAACCAGCACATTGCTTTACTTTATGAATAAATGAAACTTGGCAAAACATATCACTTATTTTGCATTCCGCCTCCAACTCTCCCAGGACCCTAAGCCCCTGTGCTTTATGGGCTAAGTCCCTAAGTCCTCATGGGCTCCCATGAGAATGACACTGACCTGCGCTGTGGGACACCTTGGGGTTGTGGGAGGCCTGTCATGATGCAGACCACCCTTGTCAGTCATTGTGGCCTCTGTGCCTTTGTGGGAGGGCTCTGGGGGACTTGCTGGGGGCCCACTGACTGCACTGTCTGCCCTTGGCCACTAGACCTGCTTTGTCTGCCAAATCACATGCAAGCCAGCGTGAGCAGGAGCTACCTCCAGTCCCTGGGCTATTCTGTCTGGGACCTTGTCATTCTCAACTGGAACGGGAGCTCCCTGTGTCAGAGTCGGATAACGTCCAGCCGGGTGACATTCACAATTCCCTACACGGGCTGCGGCACCATCAAGCAGGTAAGCCTGGGCCTCCCCACCCCCTCTCCTGCTGAGCAAGCTATCTCATAGTGATGGGCGCTGTGTGGCTTGAGTTCTGGGGACCCAGAGATGTGACTATGGAATAACCACAATGTAATCAGGGTAAAGGTAGAAATGTATCTCTTGGTCCTGTGATATAGATGCAGCCACTTCCAAATAGAATGAGGAGGCAAGGCCAGCAGGCAGTTTTTCCAGCAGAGAGGGTGCCCGACAGGCTGCCAGTCATGTCAGAAATAACAACAGCAGCTCCTGGGGCAGCTCCAAGTTTTGCAGGGACTGAAGTTTATACAGTTTGAGGTGGGAGTGGCTGAGAGGGGCGGGTGCCTCCTTATGCAAAGGAAGGCAAACGTATCTTACTCTTATAAATCTCACAAAGACATATGGTTGTGTCAATACATTTCTAGACCTTGGCAGAACCTGTGCACATGGGGGGCCCTGAAGCTTAAGCTCTATTAGCCTTACAGGAGATTAGGCCCTGCGGTTAACGGCTTATGAGCTGCCACCATCTAGGGTGACGGACTCTCTTGGTTTGCCAGAGGCTTTGCAAATATTTGCATGGAAAAGTCCCATGCCCCAGGGAACTCCTCACTCCTGGGCAAACTGGGAAGGTAGGTCACCCTACAAGTGGAAGATGCTGGGATTAGTCTGTAGCAGAACCCCCAAATCCCCACCAACTATTTCCTCATTGTTATCCCACTTCAAAATTAGGAAGGCTGGGCTTTGAGGGGTCAAGCAGGTGGCCCAAGGCCACTCAGCCAGGAAGTACCAGACTGAGATTCCATTTCTACCCAATTTAGAAATGGAGAATAAACACATGGTGGACAGCCGACCTGCTTGGAGGGGATTGGCCACAAGGGGGCGGGAGGTGCCTGCTTGGCTTAACGCAAATGTTCTGTGTTTTTACCATGGTGAAGATTACTGTCAAGCCTCACCGTATGATACCCTGATAATGGTTACATTTAATTTTATACAAGTTTATTTTCAATTATTCCAGTCCTCATGGGAATGGTAGTTGACTTATCTGCAGTGCTTTCCATTATATTCTGACTTCCTAACTGAGCAGATATTTCATAATAACTTGATCGATAATCAGAACTGCCTCTTATGATTAAGAAATAAACCTGCACTCCAAGTTCATTGTTTGGAGTAGATTCAGAATTTGGCTTGACCCTAGAAGCCATTGACAAATCTGGATTCTAAGAAAACTTTCATGGTAATATATAGAGTTAAATTGAAGGTACCCAGCCTCTCTTTGAAGGGGAAACAAGGTAACCACATTTATATGGCTTATTATGACAACCATTGGCACTCAAATATAGAGCCAAACAATTTTTTAAAAGAAAATATAAAGGCAAAAACTATAATGTGCTTTCTATTTAAGGATGGTGGTCATGGAGCCCATTCTAAGTTTTTCCCCAGACTAGTCCGAAGCTTGGGCCCTGGCGTGCCCTGCAGGGTAGGCTGCCCCACATCTGGGGCAGAGACACCATCCTGAAAGGAGGAACAGGAAGAAAAGGGAAACCTGGAAGCAGTGACCAGAGGGAGGGGGAGGGGGAGGGGTCCTGGGTGGAGCAAAACCACTTCAGTTACTTGTTAACTTTTACATGTGTTTTTCTGGAAGGGACAGATTCAGAGTTGAGTTCTCCAACTGCAGACAAGAAATGGAAGCCTCTCCAATACACTCAAATGCATGTGGGTCTCTCATGCCACTTGTAAGAATAATTACATTTAAGCTGTTCATATGCTGGCTTCAGAAGGGAACTTGTCTTATCTCCCAAGTGGCCAGGCATGGTGTTTTGCACTTGACAGCGTACATGATGAGATGTGCCTCAATGCCACACTTTTCTTTATTCTTTCTTTTAAGAGTAAGGTGGCCTTACATTTTAGGACTTCTGTTAAGGCACTGTGGTGTTATTTTTGTGCTCATTCTTACAAAAGCAGCCACAGTTTGTGGGAACCCGTACCTGGCTAGAAGTTTGCTTCTGACCATCAGCCCTGGGGAGGGAAAGAGCTCCCCCAGTCTCCACCTGGTGATGCCTCACTGGTGCCAGATGATCAGGCCATGGAGCATCTGGGAGGCCATGTTCACCTCCCCATTTGGGCCGGCTCCTCCCAGCCCTGTCCTTCATTCACTAGGTACTTCTGCCAGGCGACCGTCCCCTGTATCTTCACCCATTCCACGGATATTTATTGAGGCTGTTCATACTATCATTGACATTGTACCAAGTTCTTGGAAAACAAGGATGCTTAGACATTATTGTTTCCTTGAGATAATCACAGACCACCAGGTACAAGGCTCTCATCCCCAGAAAGGTCACTCTTAGGAGGGTGTCATGTCAAATGGCACGAGAGACCCACGTGCTTGTGAATTTGCCACTTGGAGAAAGGCACAGTAGGAAGTGGTCCTGTGGCTTGGGGAGTGAAAAAGAGTGACAGGAAGTGCTCCAGCACTGCCATGGCTACCCAGTTGTCCGCATGAGCCACAAGTCCCTTCCCCGGAGGTCAGAGGCAGGTCAGCTGCAGGCAGCAGTTATAACTCTGGATCGCTGTTCCTTGTAGCTCGTGGCTTCAGACACCAAGCTGACATAACTAGTGACCCAACAGCACAGTGATAACCAAGCCCACCAGCCCCTCCCGCAGAAGTTTGTTCAGAGCAAGTGCCTTCCCTGCTTTCTCCCAGCAACAGAGATAGTGAAACAGAACAAGCAGGAAAGGCCATGGAGTCCAAACCCAGATTAGCCATCCATACAGGAGGGCGAGGGGGCACCCAGACACACCCGTCTTCCCATGAAGGGTAGTTCCCAGGAGGCCCAATGCCTAGCTCACACTGGGATGCTCCCTCACATGGTGGAGGAGAGGAGTGTGTGTGAGAGGAGGGAGTCTTGCTAATTAGCATGCCCATGCCAGGTCCTGGCAGCCATGGCAGTAGGCATGTGCCTTCCCTGTGTGGTCCTGGGAGGGTTTTGAAGTCTTGAGTCACCTCCCTTTTTCCCACTCACTCTAACAAAAATCAGCAATGAGATTCCCTTAGCAGGTGACATTTGCCTGACTCTGCTCTCCTGCCTGCCCCTCCCAGGTGGATAATGATACCATCATCTACTCCAACCTCCTCAAAGCGGCTCCTTCTGATGGCATCATTAGGAGGGAACAGGGCCTCCGCATTCACGTCAGCTGCAGGATGCTCCAGGACACCTGGGTCGACACAATGTACATTGCTAATGACAGCATCGAGGTCAACAAAGTCCAGTATGGCAATTTTGACGTTAACATCTCCTTCTACACATCCTCTTCATTCGCACATCCTGTGACCAGCCGCCCATACTATGTGGATGCGAACCAGAATGTGTACCTTCAGGCCAAAATCATTCATCCCGACACTTTCCTGGCCTTGTTTGTGGACACCTGTGTGGCGTCACCATATTCCAATGACTTTACATCTTTGACTTATGATATAATCCGGAGCGGGTAAGGAGTGTCTTCGTGGGGTGGGCCTCAATCTTTATCTGATACCTCAAACACCACTGGCCCAAAGGCTTCAAGGAATGCAGGTTCGGGTCCTATGAGCTCAAGCTTAACCAGTCAGGTTACATCTCTGGTTAACACATAGGGAGACAGGTGTGTGGATAATTGAACAACTCACCAGTGGTCACCAAGCAGGTTAGTAGGCCCCAGATGACTGAACGCCAGGTAAGCCCTAGTATGTGTTACAAAGAGCTGTTTGTGCAGAGGGGAGGGCACTGATTTGGGAACAGGTAGAAATTGAGACGCCAGCTCTGCCCTGTACTGTAGCTGCATCAGCCTGAGCAGCTTCTCCCACCTCTCTGAGCCAGTTCCTTCCCCCATCAACTGAGCATGGTGATGCCCACATCACAGGGTCCTGAGAGCATTACATGGGAAAGAGTAGATGGCGTCTGGGGCGGAGAACATGCACAGCGGGTGGGCCACAAGGAGTGCCACACCAAAGGTGGCAGGGGGCCCTTGCCTCCATCAGCTGAGAACAGCTGTTCGAGCCTGCGGTTCCAACCAACCTCAAGCAACACAGAGATGAGGCTGTTGGTGCCCACGTTGTGATCGGTGGTGCCCCAGCTGGGCTACTCGACTGCAGCCCCACCTCCCTGGATGACAGGCCTCTGGGGAGGAGGTTCCCTCTTCTGCGCCATGAGGGGGGCATCCTAGGACACCAGGGTGTGCACCTCCAATCCCTGCTCTTTCGCCTCCACCCGTGGGTATGCCCACTTCGTGACTTATCATTTGACCTTGGTCCTTCAGTAACAGTTGTCTCACACAGAAGTTGTCCTGACAGGGTGAGGGGCTCTGCTGGGAATTAGGGCTGGGAGGTGGGAGGTTACATTTCACCCCACTCCCCGAGATAAAGCATCTCTTTCCAGGTTCTGTTTGAACATGTGTCAGTTTGGTAAACAGATGTTGAGGCTTGTCTGGCTCACAGTCTATGTAGTTGGTTCAATTCACAGCAGCTCCCTTGGCAGCAAAGATGGGGGAGAAGGTTACCCAGATCCTCTTTCTACAAACAGTCATAAGGTGACATTTGACTTTAGGTCAAATGATTGAGATGAGTGTGATGCCTTGGTTCTTCCCTGCTAAAGGATTCTTTTTGGTCAAATTCTGGCAAATATACATAGGAGATCATGCAGTTTTCTGGGGGCGGGGGGAGGGACAGGTCAGGATGGGGGCATCCCAACCGTACTTGGAGCACAGGGGCTCACTGGCTGTCCCTGGCTGTCAACCAGATCACCCATTAGAGTAAACTGGAACTTCAAATGCACCCTGCCCAGGCCCCACCTGCATATTCCCTTAATTGGTCTGTTGTGGGGCTCATGTTTCTATATTTTAAAAATCTCCCCTGGGTGATTCTGAAGTGCAGCCTGGGTGAATTAAGCTCTGGCCTTACAGACCACCCTGACCAGCTGGGCTCTATGGGAAATGGAATTACTGCCCAGCAGCCCCTGGGCTACCCCAACCTCATTTACATCTATCTTGCCTCCTAATGAGGCTCTGGAAATTTGCTCCCTCACCTTTGCTGCTAAAATGACAGCTATGGAAAAAAGAACTTGGTATTTGAGGAAATGTGTGTTGAAAATGCAGGAAAGAAGCTGTGGAAGGCAGGAGGAGGGCAGCAAGTGGACCCTGGATGACATTCCCAGGCAGAGTCAGGTTGCCCTGGTGACAGCTTCCATCTACCCACAAAACATTTCCACCCCAACCCCCATGGGCCAGCTTCCTGCCTCTTCTGTTAGCCACACCACCAAAATCCTGCCATGAGAGGTGCACCTGGGCTAGTGTGAGCAGCTCTCCACCGGCGGCAGAGCTGAGAGAGGCGCCCTCACCTACACCTTAGTCAAATTTCTCTCAGCAGACTCGTAGGTAATTATCCTTCTCACACCAGTGAGAGGGGACAGGAGGTCATTGATATTGGAGTAGGGGTCCTGGAGGGTCTGCGGGCCCCTGGAACCCAGGGCAGATGGAGGTGGGGCAGGAGACACAGCTGTGGAGATGCAGGGACACCAGAGACACTGGAGAGTAGCCACATGTCACCTTGCTTGGCACTGAGACCGCGAAAGAGAAGGAAATGTTGTCTTCCTTCCTGCCTTCTCTCTGGGCCTTGCTACTCCCTTGACTGACCTGGCTCACCTGGGGCCACTGCGCTCATGGTCACCGAGCACCCACTGTGCGCTGTGGGGCCTGCTGGTCTATGCGGACACCTGGGCTGATTTGCTGCCTTAAGATGCTGCTGGCATATGAGAGCTGCCAGGCTCTCCTGCATGGCTGACAGCCAGCGTTGGAACCACTTTGTGCAGGACAGAAGGCACAGGTCTCAAGGACCCGCTCCGTAGTTCCACACCGGTATGGCTGAGCCACGAAGCGTGCAGTGCCCTGGGGAGAGTGACGGGTTACTTTTCTCTTCTTCCAGGTGTGTGAAGGACAAAACCTACCAATCCTACTATCAGCCATTACCCCACATTGCCCGCTTCAAATTCAGTACCTTCTACTTCCTGAACCGCTTCCCGTCCGTGTACCTGAAGTGTAAAATGGTGGTGTGCAGGTTGAACGACTACTCCTCCCGGTGCAGCAGAGGCTGCGTGAGGAGGTCCAAGAGGGATGTGGGCTCCTACGAGGAGAAGGTAGATGTCGTCCTGGGACCTATCCAGCTGCAGGCCCCACATGTCGAGAAGAGGAGCCTGGGTAGGTGGCTGTCCCCCCACCCTGCTGCCTGTGGGTCCAGGCCTGTGACCCTCAGGACTTGGGATGTTTCTGCTGGTGTCCTGTTCCACTTGATTTGAACACCTACTGTGTGCCAGGCACACTGGGCTCTGCTGGCCCATAGAGACTTGAGCTAGACCTGCTTGCTGCCTTCTCCCAAGGAGTTCTGGTCTATGAGGAGCCATGTGTAGGGTTTGGTCAAGAATGTTCTGACCCGGGACATACCTGACACATTCCTCCTCTGGGTTCTGAACTCCCAGAAGCTCACATTCCTCAGTCGCAAAACAAAAATGTTAAAACCTACCTCTTATGACAGTTGAGAGGGTTCCATAGCATGATGCCAGTCAAACTGCCTCAGCCTCAGCCGGGCACAAGTCACTGGGTACAAGGAACAGTGGTTTCTGATGCTCTTGTTTTTGTCACCGATATCAGCATCACTCATGACGACATCATTACTCATGACGACAATACCAAGAAGCAATGTCCAGCCCCTGGCATAACTGAATTAGATCAAGGCAGGGCCATAGGACTGCAGACAGGATTGACTTATTCTGACACCGGACAATCCATTTTAGTTTCCTCATCTAGAAGAGGTAACATATTTCCCGATGTGCTCTTTGCTGGGGGTGTGGCTGAGGAACTGTTTGCAAAGTGACTCCCAGGATCTCTGGCTCAGGCCAGGGCTAGGTCAACAGTCATGACGGGAGTGGGGGTAGCAGTGGTCATCACAAACCCTCCTCTTGGTCACAGGGTTCCACCCCATGGAGCATATTCGACAGCTCCGCTCATGTCCCATATTCCGGCTGTGCAAATGTCCAGCCGATTCTAATTTCTTTTCTTGCATATGCACTCATTCCATGCATATTTTCTGCAGACCTGTCATGTGCCAGGAGACAAATACATAATCAGACAGAAACAGATGAAAATTCCAGCCCCTGTGGAGTTCACATTCCAGTGGGAGGGGATGCAATTCAGAAATGAGGGCTGTGTTGGTCACCTCGGGTGGGCACCGTGGTGGTGCCAACCAGATGCTGCTTGCCTCCTCCCCATTCTCATGTCTCTGGCGCTGCAGCAGCTTGGGGCAGGGATACTTCTTGTCTGTGACTTATTCCCTTTTCCCAACTCCCTCCCTTCCCATCCACTGTGAGCCTCCCCACCAGATTTGATCTCCCCTTGCCCACCTCTGACTTCCTGCTCTTTAAAAGCCTTCCCGGAGTCCTGTTGGCTGACCAGGCACTGAAGTCTCCCTGGCCTGGCACGCAGCTGCACTTCCGGGTCTGGCCTCAGGGTCCCATTCCGCATTCTCTTTCCCATTTCCTTTTCCCCCTCCCACCAGACAAATGGTTCTGACCACCCTCACGCTGCCCGGGGACCACCACCCTTACCTGTGCCCCTCTCCTTCTCCACTGGCTCATCCTGATGGGGACTCTTCTCTCTTCCCCAGACCTGCCAGCGGCTAGTGTGGAGGAGCAGGCCAGTGCCCAGGGGAGCTATCACAGCGCTGCCATCTCCGCTGGGGTCTTCCTGGTCGTGGTCCTGGCTGTGGCGGCCTTCACACTGGGAAGGAGCACCCGGGCTACCAGTGGCCAGCCTCTGAGCCAGAAGGTGTGAGCCAGGAGACTGCACGTGGCACTCAGACACTGGCCCCATGCACTCCGGAACCCGTGAGGCAGGAGTTGTCGAGTGCCCAGAGTGTGACATCCAGCAGCACCCAAACTCTCTTACCTTGTTGCAGGTGCCTGGGGTTGTGTGTTGGTGGGAGGGGGGGGAGGGGAGCACTGAGGTCATGGTGCAGCCAGGTAAGGGTTTTCCTAGAAACACAGGGTTAGTGCTGGGACAAATGCAAGCAGATGCCAATACCTAAAACTGTGCATGCAGCTATGAGCCAAATGCTAGGAATAGCAAAGTTTCCTCCAAGTATAATTTTTTTCCTCACCTTTTACAAACTAGCTCCTTTGGCCTGTAATATACATCTTAGCCTTTCCTTATGATAGAAAAGTAGAATAAAGAACTTTTTTCAGAGCAAGTGTTGGTTTGTTCAATTTTCCAATGACTCACCTAAGCACTGGATCCCTTCAAACTAAGCAGATAGGAACGGTGGGCTGTCACAAGGGATGACAAAGGCCAGGGGCTCTGTCCTGCGGCTTCCAGAATTTGAGGGAACAGATACAGTACCCTCCTTTGTCCTTGGCATGTGTTGGTTCTTCCCAAAGGAGGAAATGCAGGGTAAAAGTTAGAGAAAGGCCAGACACTGTGGGCATCACAATTTTTAGTGTCACGACTTAAAATTAAAAATGATTGCCTCCATTTTCCAGGAATCTGCATCTTTGGGTTTTTGACATTATATCCACCACTGTGGGCTGGAGAGTGGGGTGGTTGGTGAGCAAACTCCTCAGGGCCCCTAGATTTCTGGTGCCTGGGACTGGGCCACCAGGAGTCCCAATGACATGTGTTCTCCAAAGAGAAATGGATTGACAGATGACTCTAGAATGTCAGCAGAAACAAAGGGATAGGTTGGTTTCCAAGGAGGCAGTGAATTTGCCAGAAAATGAGAGAAGCCGGCCCTGGGCACCTAGCCCAGATTTGGTACTAATGGGACCTTTTGCATACGGCCTTGGCAATGTCAGCATTTCTACTTCAAGCCCCTGAGGACCCCTGCCTGGGGACAGCTATGACAAGCCTAACTCCAAGGTGTGATCTGAGCAGGGTGAGACCCCACCAGGGCAGCAGCTGCAGGGGAGCCCCCAGGACAAGGATACTGAGAAGTCCAAAAGAGTTGGGGCCCCAGCTGCCAGTGGACCAGGGCTGACCAAGAGCCTGGAAGCAGCTTCAAGGAAAAATCTTCAGCTTCTATGGGATGCAAATGACCCCTGGCCCTCCTGGGGCAGAGGAGCTAGGGGTCCTGGTGACTTTACCAGTTTCTGTTATCCACACTCACCCTGTTCTCTCAGGCTGGGGTGATCAAGGAAAGCCATGAGGGTCGCCCACGATAACAAGTCTGGCTAAAGGTCAATGACAATGCAATGAAATATGGGCACCAGGCCCGGGATCTGAGCAGATGCGGGACAAGAGGAAATGTGGAGCTGGCACGTGGGTTTGAAATACAAGTCAGAGGAACAAAGCAGTAAGCTAGACATCTAAGAACTGCAAAAAGGACCAGAGCCTGGGAACCAGCATGGGACCTTCCTCCTTCCCTTCCTCCCTCCCTCCCTTCCTTCCTTTCTTCCATCGGGTGCCAGCCCCAAGCCATGCTTTGTGCTTGGCTCTGGGGATGCAGAGGGGTTCTAAATGCCCCCCCCTTTATAAAGGAAAAACTTGTGTCTGCCAAACTCCTCCTGGAATCTCCTTTTCCATTGGAAATAATCTCCCCCGAAACAGGATCCCTTACAGAGGCCACCGTGCCTAGACTTCCTCCTGGCCGTGCGCGCCTCTGTAAAGGGAGAAGCAATGACCCTTTCCTCAGCGAGGCTGGGCTTGGTGTGTGCAGTGAATCAGTGCAGTGTGCAGAGCCTAATCCCATGGCAGGTGTGCAGGTGGGTAGGTGACAGCCTACAGGCTCAGGCCGGCGGAAGGCTAATGTGCACAAATGAGTCTGGGAGCAAGGAACAGTGAGGCCCAGGTGACAGGCAGAGGTGGGAGGCATGGCCATCAGGGACAGGGACAAGGAGCCAGGCCCAGGGCTCTGCGCCGAGGCAGGGCACAGGAGGGGAGAAGCCACATGGCAAGGGGGTAGGGACCCACTGTCCGCACCACATGAAGGGGCAGAGTGGGGCTGATGCCAGGCTGCTGTGATGTCCACGACTGACCAGTTTAGGGCAGAGATGCTCGACCCTGGCTGCACGAGGGGGTGGCCGAGGGTCTTTAAAGCTTCTGTTGTCAGGCTGTACCCAGGCCAGTTAGATCAGAATCTGGGAGTGGGCCTGGCATCAGTGATTTAAAATCTCCAGGGGGTTCAGACAAGGTTGAGAGCCACTAGTTCAGGACTCCTTCAGTCCCTCTGGGGAGGCCGTGTGGGGCCCTGCCCGTGAGCAGCAGCAGAGGAGGAAAAGGGCACCCGCAGGGCAGAAGGGAGGGCTCCGGGGCCTTGGAGCGCCCTGTCCTGGGCGTGGCCAAAAGACGCACTTTCCCTTTAGAATCACTATTCAGTTCAAATCAGAAAAGAGCATGTGAAAATGATACTTCCCTAAAGTACCTGTTTGGACTATCCAGAGGCACATGGCATGCACGAAACGCTGCCTATGTGTCTCTTACCAGCTGAGCACCAGCAGGGCACCTGGGACACGTTGGGACAAGCAATCCCCCTTCCAGCTGTGTGGGTCAGGGCTTCTCATCACCTCTGACAGGGATGGAAGCCCAGAAGCCAGGCAGCATGCTGGGTCGGGGGCTGGCAGATGGACGATGCAGTCTGGCCCTCTGACCTCTAGTGCCCTCCCCTCTCCCTCCTCTGTCCCCACCTGAGCCCCCCAGGGGGACTGGCCTCATACCGGGTTGGCACAGCTCACTGCATCTGACACTCCTCTCTGTGGCGTGCGGGTGTGGGACCCAGGAACCAGAGGGCCAAGGGCAATGGAGAGGCTTACTGGTTGTTGGGATGACGCTGCCATTCACAGCCCGGGGGGCCCCTTGAGGCCTCTCCTTTTGTCTGGGCTGCAGCTGCTTGGTCTCCCTGCATCTTCAGGACTTGCTCAGAGCCACTGACCCTCAGCTCCACCTGGAGCAGAATGACCGACACCTGAGACCTCTGCCCCAGTGGCGAACAGCAAGACAGGGACGCACCGCCTGTCCGGAGTCATCTCCTATCCCTCCTGGGGACAGAGCCTGCCTCCCAGCCCCTCCCAGAGGAGCAGCAGCTGCCCTGCTCACACCCCACCATCCCCCACGTGGACATCAGGTCAACCTTAGTGCCGTTTTGCTCCTGGGGAACTTTGTGCTCTCTCTTTTGAATGCCAGTTGTCTGTTACAGGCGACTGGTTCCATGGTTTTTCGCTCTACTAAAGAACTCCTGTAAAAGCCTGCCTCTGCCCCTTTATCGTTAAGGAAACAGAATCTGATGTAATCTCAGACAGCAGAGGGCTGGGTACCTCCCCTTTGCCCTGGTCCCCAGGCCACACTGAAGGAAGCTGCTCAGAAGGCCTTTGGATCCTGCCTGCCAGTTCTGTTCCTGCTTGAAAGACCCCTGGAGTGGGCAGCATGGGATTCTGCCCAGGGTGATGGCTCAATATCTGACTCATTTGGTGGCTGTGGGGAGGCTTCCAGTGTGTGCTTAACAGCCTCAGCACATGGTCATTAGCTCCAGGAGGCCACGGACTGACGTCAGTCTCCTCCTAATCGCTGCGTTTGTCAAGGACACAGGGTGTGGTGC